GCATACATTCGACTTTATACAATCTGTTTCCAAAATTCGAATTATATAAATTCGGATTAATCCCGTAGTGTAGACATACCCTTAGTGTTGGATTTGTATACAGTAGTCTGAAGTGTTTTGGGATATTTCCCCCCATACACTGTGTTATAAATGTGTAAGTCTGGCAATAATTTTCCAAGAGGAAATGATAATGTGTCTCCAGGAAGTGAACGCTCCTTCTAGGGCAGACTTGATCTTTCAAACTGACTGTGAATGTTACAAATATAAAGGTAACCTTCTTTGTTTGAATCCTTTGTGTCTTCTGTACCAGGCTTCCAAAACTCCAGATGAGGAAGTGACCCAAAGCGAGGCTAGCACTCCCAAAGAATTTGCCATCTCCCAGAAAAGAAAAGCAAATGATATCAGCAGGAAGGGGAAAAAACCCTGCCTCGATTCATAGAGGTTCTCTGTGTAAATAAACATTTTTCTGAATGTGTAACACTGGCAGGTTTCACTTGTCTCTCTGTGCGTGAGCTAATACTTGTGATGGCAGGGGGTTGTTTTCAAATTAAAGCTGCTTTTATTTTATTTCAGTAGCATTACATGTTTTGTATTCTTGTTTGTCTTGCATTGTTTGTCTCTAAGTATTGTGAAGGAAGGCAGAATTGGGAATAATAAATCAGTCTTACATGTTTTAGAGTTCTCTTGTGATGATGGTTATTGTGTGAATGAGAAATTGCTTAACATTGCCCATGGACGGTATGTGGCCAGTCTGGCTTTTTTGTTTTTGTGGTTGATGACAGGCTAGAAATTGGAGCAAATAATTAAAGGATGTACTTGAATTCGTAAGTAATATTTTGCTGTTTCCCGCCCCAATTGAAACATCAGCACACCTGCCTGTAGCAGACACTTCAGTTTCCCTTGTTGGAGTAATAATAGTAAATGATACATGAGTGTGGACATATTGTATACTCTGTATCTCACCCTTTCCCCAGCCATCTTCCCACCTGTGCAATCAGTAACCAGCTCATAAATCAGAAGAACACTACTTCCACAAGCTGAGCAGATGGCTTAATGTTTTATAGCCCAAACTGGAGCAGAGTCTACGGGGAGACTTAAACTGGTGTAATTTATACCTTCCAGTCCCTTAAGGCATATTTGCATCCACTCATCAACTTGTAACTTACACCTCAAGTCTGCATGTGGCCATTGAATGTAAAGGAATCTAAATTTTGGTAATCTTGATACCTGAGGGACTGAAAAAGATGAGAGTTATTTCTCTTGCTATGCTAACTGGGCTATGTAAGAAATTGTAATTTAATGCAGCAACTGCTATTCCTCACTTCCTTCTGACTTCCCAACATGTGAGTTTTACCAACTTCACTTCCCTTATGCACTAGTATATAGGTGTAAGAAGTCTGACTTTCAGAGATACTGTGATCCTATTGATTTCAGTTGGAGTTTTGGGTCTTGAGCAATTCTGGCAAAGTCCTGAAAATGTCCATTTTACACCACCTCTGCAATGGGCCATTAAACTGAATCTGAACTAAGCAGTAGTTTAGTGAATGGAAGTGTTTTGTCACTAGCTTATATTAGGGCTTGTCTGCACTTAAAATACTGTAGTGGCTCAACTGCCGTGCTTCAGAGAAGATGCTTCCTTTGCCAGTGGCATGGATTCTGCCGTTGGCGTAGGGAATCCACTTTGCTGAGAGGCAGTAGCTCAGGCAGCAAGAGAATTCTCCCATCGGCCTAGTGCTGTCTACACCAGGGGTTAGGTCAGTTTAACTATGTCTCTTGGGTGTGGATTTTTCAAAGCCCTGATCGATGTAATTATACCGACCTAATTTCCTGGTGTAGGCCAGGCCTTAGATACAAGAGCCACAGCTCTATAGAAAATTACATATTTATGCAGGACATACGTGTTAAATCGACTAGGCTAATAGCCTTCATGAATAGGAACATGGAAGCTGCCATGCTGGATCAGACTCATCTAGTGCGGTATCCTGTTTCTGATGATGCTGTAGGGCGTGCCCCCAGTGGGCCGTGAAGGCATGTTTTTTTTGGGTGGTGGGTGTATGGCAAAGCCTAGGCCAGCCCCCACAGAGAGCGGGGAGGGAACATCACCCAGCCCCGCTAAGCCCCCAGCTCTGCTCTGGCCCTGGCTCCTGTGAACTTGGCTGTAGCTCCGCTCCTGGCCCTGCCCCCAGCCTTTGCCCTGCCCTCAGCTGTGGCCCCCTTACCCTGTCTGTGCCCTCTTCCCCCCTCCCCGGGAGCTGTGGCCCCAGTGCCTGAAAAGTTTAGGGGCTGCTGTACTAGATGCTTCAGAGAAATCCCTTTGTGGGCAATGCACTCTAATGATGTGGATGAATATGGAATTCTTGTGTCTTTGTGCCATGGTTTGTGTATTACCGTAATTTCAGGAACCCTAGTTATGGAGCAAGAATCACTGTAAGTGCTGAATGTTATTCCTACATGCTTAATTCTGTAACTAGACCTAGCACTTCACCTACCCCGGAGAAAGAGAGACTCCCTTCTCTGGCAACACAGGACAGAGAGCACATGGGGGAGGAGAGTGTGCAGGGAAGGACAAAAGAGGTGGAAGGCTGTTTCATGCACAAGGCCAGCATGAAGGGAAATGTGAATCCATGGGCCTAATTCTGCAACCTCTCCTATTGAAGTGAATGGGAGCTCGATGGAGAAAGGAGGGGTGCTTGCAGTAGCTGGGGCTGAGTGCAAGGAGATGAGGCAGTGACAGGCAGGTGGAGGAATGGAGTGAGGCAGAGGAGAGGTTGGGCAGGGCCTTCAAAGTCAACTTATCCTCAGAGGAGAGAGTTGAATGAGATTTGATTTTTAAAAGAGAACAGTTCCCTGTAGCTAGTCTGTTAATTTCTAGGCCTAAATTTCATGTCTTTGACTACCTGAAACTCCTCAATGAAGTTGAGACCGGAACATGTTAAATTCTCAGGCCTTTGCTCTCCCAGAAGCTGCAGGGAGCCCCTCCAACCACTCCATGCAGACTCAGCGTATAGGCAGCCGGGAAATTAAAGCCTTTGCTTCAGTGACCCTCTTCCCCTCACCTTCCATACAGAGTAATAATAATAGTTGCGTCCAAATCAGGGCCGGCTCCAGGGTTTTTGCCGCCCCAAGCGGCGCAAAAAAAAAAAAAAAGCCGCGATCTGCGGTGGCAATTCGGCGGGAGGTCTTTTGCTCCGAGCGGGAGCGAGGGACCGTCCGCTGAATTACCGCTGAATAGCTGGACGTGCCGCCCCTCTCCGGAGTGGCCGCCCCAAGGACCTGCTTGGCAAGCTGATGCCTGGAGCCAGCCCTGATCAAAATATTTCCCATACAGCTCAACAGGAGTTTGCTTCTCCAGTAGGGACTGAATGTGGGGAACAGGGCACAGCCCTTCCTACATTCTGAGGTAGTTAGTGACGATGAACGTGTGGAAAGTCAATTACCTCCCCTCACTCAAGTGCTTGCGCATGCAGGAAGTCCCACTGAACAATTAAAATGTGGTTCTGCTGTGAACTGCCTTGGGGAACTCTGTGTGAGGCTCAACGAATCCAGAGCAAATGCGTTCAATTTACCTATAAAGGGATGTTTTCTCCTACTGCTAGCCCCACTCACCTTCAGGGCTTGTCTGTGTTAAAGTTTCTGCATTCTGTATTAGATGCACAGAAGGAGCCCAGTTTGACTCTCAGGGCATGTCTACATTACATACATATCACAGACACAGAATGGAGTTAGCCAAGTCCAAAGGGTTCTGTCTCAGATGGTGTTTGTTTTACCTTCTCTTCTGTATCCCCAAAAGCTTATTGACTGCGATACTAATGTTAATGAGACATAACCAACCAGTCATGGGTTTTTAACCCCATTCTAGGGGAAAGCTGCAGCAATTACAACTTATTTTAAAATTACAATTTATTTTTCTATAGCGTCTTTCATACAGGATGCTTTACAGTTCATATACACAAAGAGGGTGTAGGAATTTAAAGGAATGGTCTGCAGGGGAGGGAAACTGGTTATATATAAATATACACATAATATACACACGCACGCATGCTGGATATTATATATGGCATCATATATACATACAATAACATATACATGGTGTATTAAAGGCATTACATCCAATTCAGAGTTTCTCTTAGTACAGACATGTGAGAGATGGATGTGTCCATGGTTTGTGTTTGATATAGGATAGAATTAATGTTAAGAATAAGTGATCAGAATGATATTAATCTGGTGCCCTTTAAAAGCAGACTTTGCCGCAGACTAACACCTCCAGTAAGGCAATATCCCAGAGCATGGTGGCTGATAATGTTAACACTGATTGAGGAGAACAAATGGCAGGCAGCCCTGAGCGTGATAGAGGATGCATATTTGGGGTAATAAGAAGGAACCGAGAAAAACAGCTCTGGAAGGGTATATCCATATATAAGCACAGAGGCCCAGAGCCTCAACGGTATTTAGGGGGCCTACTGCCCATTGAGACCAATGAGAGTTAGCTGCCTACGTGTCTTTGAGGATCTGGACACGAAAGCAAGCAATCACAAAGCTGTCACTGCCCTTTAAAGGGAGTGGGGCTCAGCCGTGCCTGTGATGGGTCAGCTACTCGCCCACTGATCCCGGCTGGTGGGGGAGCAGATGGCCCTATTCGTTATTAGGCCCAGTGGGAAGGGGTCAAAGGGCTGTGTGAGTGCCGCTGGAAGACTGGCACTGTGGAAGGGTGGTTGTCTCCTCTAGTAGGCCCTGGAGAAGGGCAAATGCGAGGCCCCAAATTAACAGCCACTTTTGAAAACGTTGCCCTTAATCCCCTCCCTTGGTTCCCCCAGCTGCGTAATGGGGAAGGCACAGGTCTGACTCCCCTCCCAGGGCGTGGCGGCGCTCACCGGAGGGTGTCTGTAACATGTCCCGAGAGGTGCTAAGCATGAGGATTCTCCCACCTGCCACGAAGTTGCAATGGATTATTGCTGCCGCTGTGGATGCTGCCTGCTGCCACGTCACTCCGACCTGCTCCATGCGCTCGCCTGTCCTCTTCCAGGACACACGACCAGCAGGACTGAGTGTGGGGTAGTGGCACAGCTGGTAGGGTCAGAGGGCAGCAGGCTTGGCAAGAGCTTCCGCTCCACCACAGAGGCTGTGGGGTCACTCCCTTGGGGAGGGGCGTCTCCCTGGGCTAGAAGCATTTTGGCTCCTTAGCTGCAGGTCCCTCCTGCTCTGACTTGGTATGCTAGGGGCCTGTCTAGGGAAACCCCGGGAAGGGGGTCTCTCTAGCTCCCTCTCTGGGCTCGGGGGGTCCCCTCTTAGGCAGGGGTGGAGGGGACACAGTGTTTCTTTGTACAGTCGTGCACTTGTGTCCTGCCATGAAAGCCCTGAGCCCTTGGGATGACGGCTCAGGCTGTGCTGCCTGTTGCCCAGGGTTATGATGCGGTGGGGGCGTGTCAATGCCTGACACAGATCAGCCTGCGTCTCGTCCCCTCAAGGCCAGGTGGGGGGCTCTTGCTTGGCTCATTTGATGAGGGGCTGCCTGCGTGGCCACTCGGAGGGTTTATAAGTGAGATGTGAAGGACGGTGTGGGCGGGGAAGGGAAGAAGCTGACTCGGAGGCTGCTGCTGGCTGGATCCCTGCTTTCTGAGGAAATCAGCAGCTCGTCATCGGTCAGGCAGGGGTGGTGGGCAGAGTAGCCACTCTCTTGC